GGGGGGGGGGGGAAACACGATTATATGGCCAATGTGCGGATCCAGATGTTGTAATATTTTCAGCATTCGAGTGACTTGAAAAGTGGGTAGATCAGTAGCGCATCAAAACGCTTTCTCAGAAAAGAGGAAGAAAGACAATCTAACCAGTTTAGGTTTCAGGGCTGCTGTGTGAGCGTCACCTGGCAAAATGTCCTGGCTGACCCACTAAACTTAACAAAGCTGGGAAGAATGAGCGTGTCTGAGGTCTTCTGCTGGCTCTTCACAAGTGCTGTAAATTTTTTGATAAATAAAAACTGTGAATATATGCATACACATTGTAAGTATTCCCCCTTTTTTATTTTTGAAAACCAAAAGAAGCTCTGATTGGGGACATGTTGGGTAAAAGTTGGTTCGAAGACAGAATTATTTAGTCACGGACTCAGGGTAATAAAAGAAACGTGTAAGAGTGTTTAAGATACCGAAGTTGAAATCACCAGTGATAAACCACCTAAGTTTATGAACAATTTCCTACCCATTTATGATGAATGGCTAAAACAAATTGCTAATGTATACGTAGTGCTCAGACTTTGAAGGGAACATGTAACAGTTTTGTTAAATATCTCACAATCTGGGACGCTTGGCAAAGAAAACAAATTTGTATCAATTCCCTGTCTTGATTAAAAAAAAAAAAATCTCAGCATCTAATTCCACTGAAGATTCATAATAAATTTCTTAAATTGATCCTCTAGAACACACTTTTCCTTTTTCCAAAAAAACACAACCACCCAACACATGCTCTAACTTGCATAGGAAATCTGCTGTGGTAGAAGGAAGGTCTCAAGTCTCCCTTCCTCATAACTTTCCCTGCCAATTTTCATTATGTAATTCGTTTCAGAATCAGGACTTTTAGTCATTCTCCTGAGTCTCTGCTAGTACAGTTTCCCTATTAATTATACAGATTTGTAGTCTTTCCATTTTGTTGTAGGGAAATGACTAGGTCATATACCCTTCTGTCAAACTGGGGCAGTTTGTTTGGGGCCAGTAGGAAAATCCCAACCTAAATAACGAAGGGTTTTGGCTCTTAGGATTCTCTTTTCTTCAGGCCAAACGTAATTGGTTACTCTTTTTCAAGTTAGGTTATTCGTGCCTTAAGTCTTTGTGTGCCTCCCATAGCTTATAATAGTAACTTAATGGGTTACTCCTGAAGTGGGTCGAGATTCTTTATTGTACGTTCTCTGTCGTCCTATCCAAATTGGTAAAATGCCCCACCAAGTCCTAATATTCAACTGGAGAAATGCAGAGGAAAGCAATTCATTGTTGTGGTAAAAACTCAAGCTTCTGGTATAGCTGGTGACCTCTGTTTCATCATAGAGAAGAACATAGGGAAAGAGTTGTCCTGATGTCCTATGTCTGCAGTCATCTGAAAGTCAGCATCAATTATAGCCAGTATGCCATGACCTGAGGTAGTGATATTCCTGAGGAGTGCAAAGAATTGCAGGAAACTATGGATCGCTATTAAGTCATGAAAGCCTTACAAGGAGAGAGTTTTATAAGCTTGACTGCGTAACTGAAACCTAATTGATTATAGAGATGTGGATAAATAACCTAATGGCCTGACTCCTTTTCTAATGTTTTACTAACAGCTACTACTAAGTATATATGGTCCCAGGATTTGGAAATTGCCTTTTCTATTCATATATATATTTTTTAAATGGATGGAAAAGTGTTTGTTTTTCTTAACTATGGCAGAATTGTTTCTTTTAATATGTGATAATACATAAAATTTATAAAGGGGTATTTTGCATTACACTGTTGTTCATAATTCATAGAATGAGCTGCATAATCTTTGTACTTGTTGAAATATAATTAGGAATTATCACTGAAATCCTAGCCAGGATCCTATCCTAATCTAAAACATAGGTGCAATTGTCCACGTTGTGTCCTGTTCTTTTTTACAGAAGACCCAGTGTAAGTACTGTCGTAGTGGGCAAAAAAGAAAAAACCCTGTAAGCTCGTGTCCAGGCCACTTACGTGTCCGGATAATAAAGCTGCGACTGGCCTCCGTACGTACATACCTTAAGGCAGAAGTTGATCGCATTACTAGTTCATAGTTTTTCAAAGGCTGCTATGTGAAAAGGGTGGGAAGTATTGAACCAGCCAGTAGTTTTCACCTAGTATCCTACTCAGAGTAAGAGATCACTTGGGATCTTGCACCCCATTTACACTTTGACAGGTGGACATGAAAGGTTGTCCTTATCATTTCAGGGTGTCCCTCTAAAACTAGCTCCGTGACCCTAAGAAAACATGGGAGTGGCCAATAGGTGTTGGTACAAAGACACCCTTCTAATTTGTCAACACGTGGAAGGTCTGAGGCCATTAGATCTCCGGAGAAAGCCACCTTGCTCGTCCCCTACCACACCGCTTTTTACACTCCAAGAGCTGCTCTTGGGGGTTTTCTTTTTTGAAGCTGTTTTGGCACTAATTCCTCTTGATGATGACTCATAAAACACATGTTTTTCACAAAGTTCCTGAAAGAGAAAGAGGGACGAATGAAGAACATGTTCTTAATTTATAGTACTGGGGTAGGGGGGGAAGGGTGCAGGCTTTTTTTCTTTTTTAAACCACCCTGGGCCTCTCATGTTTTAGCTAAGCAAAAAAGACATTTTCATTGTAAAGCCCTGACGTATCCTGACATCCAGTACCCCACAGAACTTGGGTCGATTTCATGCAAAGGGTAAAATGGGGAGGGTGACTTCTCCGAACACAATCAAGGCATTCCTACCAGCAGAGTCCAAGGAGAGTATTACACACGACTAATGGCGATAACGTCCCAGATCCTATTTTCTTTCCCCTTCTCGAGCCCAATTAACATGCCTGTTTGTATATCTACGTTGTCCGCCTTCTGCATTATCCCCTTGCTCCGGCATTAATAATTTCCTTTCCTACAGGATTATTCCCATGATGGGATTATTTCCCATAAAAATATGCCCTAGTATTTTACGTTGATTATAAAGTGAAACAAAGGGATGCCTGGGTGGCTCAGTCGATTGAGCATCCGACTTCGGCTCAGGTCGCCATCTCACGGGTCGTGAGTTCAAGCCCTGCATCAGGCTCTCTCCTGTCAGCGCAGAGCCTGCTTTAGATCCTCTGTCTCTGCCCCTCCTCCCCCTTCTCTCTCTCCAAAATCTACATTAAAAAATAATGATAAGGGGCGCCTGGGTGGCGCAGTCGGTTGGGCGTCCGACTTCAGCCAGGTCACGATCTCGCGGTCCGTGAGTTCGAGCCCCGCGTGGGGCTCTGGGCTGGTGGCTCGGAGCCTGGAGCCTGTTTCCGATTCTGTGTCTCCCTCTCTCTCTGCCCCTCCCCCATTCATGCTCTGTCTCTCTCTGTCCCAAAAATAAATAAAAAAAACGTTGAAAAAAAAATAATGATAAAAAAAAAAAATAAAGTCACCTTCGAACCTCCTCTTTCAAAGATCTTTTCCTGTAATTTAGCCAGTTACTTAAGTGGCTACTATGCACCTAGTACTACGCTAGGTACTGAAGATAGCATGGATATAGAGTCCTGCTTTCAAGGAGCTTACATTTTAATAAAGGAGGCAGGCACATAAGCACCTGATGTCAAGTAGTGAAAGTGCTAATGAGAAAAGTAAACGGAAAGAAAAAAAGGAAAATAGTTGGGAGAGAGGCGACTACATTCCGCCGTCATCGCTCCCAAGAGGTGACGTGTGGTCAGAAACTGTAACGAGAAAGTAACCATGTGAAGCATTAGAAGCACTGTGTTTTCAGAAAGATCAGAGCATGGTGAGTACACGAACCACAAGACAGGGTCGGGGAAGTAAGTGGCAGCCACAGTGAGAAGTTTGCATTTTATCTGAAACGTAATTTGCACCATACATTTTGAGCTGAGGAATGACATTTGTAAAAGATCAGGCTGACTGCCCCATGGAGGGCAGACTGTAGAGGGCCAGGGCTGGAAGACCAGTGTGGAGGTTAGCGTAGTCCAGGAACTCCGAATGGTACTGGCTCAAAGTGTCAGATTCATGTATGTCATGCTGACACATTTAACGAGAATTAGTGACAGTATGGTTGTGGAGCATAGTGATTATCGTGGATGAATCCTAAGCGTCTGGCCTGAGGAGCCCCTCCCCACTGAAGGCTTATGGAGGAGGGTGTGTGCATTTGGGTGAGTGGGTCTGAGAACCAAGAGTTCTGTGTAGGTCATGTCAAGCTAGAGACGCCTATTAGACATTCCAACCAAAGATGTTAAGTAAGCAGTTAGATTTGGAAATTTGAAAGTCAGGTAAAAGGTCAAAACCTGGAGATAGGAGACATTTGGGAGTCCTCACTTTTTGGATGGCTTATAATGCCTTAGGGATAGGTCTAAGAAGTAGACGTAGGTATAGATCTAAGGACTGAATCCTGGGCATTACTGGGTTTTTTATTTTTTATTTTTTCCAATCTTTATTTTTGAGAGAGAGGGGGACACAGAGTCTGAAGCAGGCTCCGGGCTCTGAGCTGTCAGCACAGAGCCTGATGTGGGGCTCAAACTCACAGTTCGTGAGTTCATGACCTGCGCCTGAAGTTGGACGCTCAACCGACTGAGCCACCCGGGTGCCCCTTGGGCACTACTGTTTTTAAAGGTATACAGGAGAAGGGGGAGAGGGAGGAAGCAAAGGAGACCACGAAGTGACTAATGAGGTAGGAGGAAAATCAGGGAAGAGTGGTATTCCGGAAGACAAGTGAAAACAAGTGTTTGCAGATAGGCAGCATGAGGAGCTGGGCAAGTGCTTCTGGGAAGTCGAGTAACGGGGACTGAGAACTGTCCCTACGTTTGATAACTTGGAAGTCCTAAGTAGCCTTTGGAGTAAGAACATGAGCAAGTCTGAGTGGAGTAAGTTCAAGAAAGAATGGAAGGTGAGGACACAAAGACAATACAGAGTACAGTAAAACCTTGGTTGGCGAGCATAATTCGTTCCAGAACGTGCTTGTAATACAAAGCACTTGCATATCAGTGCGAATTTCAAGAACCATTGGCTCAGTTGTGATCACGGGACATTCGGTGTCATGTACTACTGGTATTGCAAGACATCGCTTGGATATCAAGTGAAAATGTATTAGAAATGTTTGCTTGTCTTGCACAACTCTCGCAGAACAAGTCACTCGCCATATAAGGTTTTACTGTACTTGAGAACTGAAAAGTAGGCAGGGAAGGGGTGGGTTCCTGGAGGGAACCTGAAGTCTAGGGAGGTATATTGTTTATGATGGTAAATACTGCAGCTGTGTGTGTGTGTGTGTGTGTGTGTGTGTGTGTGTGTGTGTGTGATGATAACCTCCCAGAAGGGGGAAGTTGATGCACTCAGCGCATAAAGGGAAGAGCTGGCATAGATGGATATGGGCATAGATGTAGGTAGTTTAGTGGATGGCATGCAGGATGAGTTGGTCTCTCTATTTCTCTTTTGTCAGCGAACTGAAAAGGCAAGATCGTCGGCAGAGAGGAAGTGGGAAGGGTACTCAAGGCTTGAGGAAAGAGTATAGAGTGTAAGGTAATCCTCTTGGAGAGGAGGAAAGTCAGCTCTCTGGGCAACGTGGGTTGTAGGACTCGCCCGAAGACCTACTTGAGATTTGTGTTCATAAATCTAAAATCAGTCTTGTCAACACAGTTGTGTGTCTTCTTCAGCCATGCTGCGCCCCTTGGGTGCAGGGATAACATAAGAAATGGTTTCATCAGAGTTGGGTTTTCCTGAAATGATGGAGGAAGCGAAGGCAGGGAAAAGGGAGCGGTGGTGGCCCATGAAGTCTGAGCAGGGGAAGCCGATGGCTACTCAGTGGATTCCAGGCCCTGGTGTGGCGCGGATTTGTTGCGGTGCTGGTGCTTGGGAAAGTGAGCTAGGACGCAGAGGGGTCACAGGGCGAGGGGCAATGACAGTCCGTGATACGATCATCCTGTTTGCTCCCCTTCCGAGCAAAATGACAGAAGGGCTGTAGCTGATTCCCTCACTTCGTGAACTTCTGTCCCATCTCAAGCCTCAAACCTTCCGTCCTGTCACTCCACTGAGACTGTGCCTGACAAGCCTGCGGTCACCTTACTCTTTGTACTTGACCTCTCAGCAGCTTTTGGCACCATCTGGTCCCATCTTCCTAGAACACTTTTTTTTTTTTTTTTTTTTTTTTTTTTTTTTTTGGCTTCAGTGATCCCATGGTCTCCTGGCTTTCCCCCAAACTCACTATCAGCTCCTTTTCAGTCTTTTTGGATACTCTGTCTCCTCTGTTGGATCTCTAAATGTCGGATTAACCTAGGGCTTGGTTCTGGACTTCCTTCCCTTCTCTCGGCTCTTTGACTAGATTTCATCTGGTTCTCAATTTAAATGCCATCTACAAACTACATAGCAGCCCAATCTGACCCTGTCCCTGAGTGTCTTTCAGACTTATTATATATCGCACAGCTGGCTAATAATATATCTCCCTGATGCCTAATGGTCATCTCAAAATGAATATATCGAGAATAGTACTCTGGACTCTCTCCATCCCCGAAACCTAGTCCTCTTTGTGGCTACCCTATCTTACCACCCATGTAGTTTCTCAAGCTAAACATTTAGGTGTCATCCTGACTACTTCATTGCCTTACTCTTATATCCAATTCATTCATTCATTCATTCATTCATTCATTCAATAACTTTAGCTGAGATCAATTAGCCAGTGAGGCTGATAAAGAAGTTCTCTAAGAAATAAACCTTAGGGCACAAAAACTTTAAAATAGTGGGAAGATACAACGGAACCAGTAGAGGATGCTGAAGGGGTGACTGACAGGAGACAACCGGGGGGGGGGTCCTCGAAGGCAGTGAAGCCAACTATTTCAGGAAGAAGGGCATGCTCACCTCGGTCCAATTCTGGGAATGGTCACCACGCTAGCCATTAAGATGAGGAAGGAGAATTGACCACTGGCTTTAGCATTGTAGGGGTAACTGGGATGCTAAAAACAGCAATTTCTGTAGAACGGTGGCCATAAAAGTCTTACTGGAGCAGGTTCATAAGAGAATGGGAAAAGAGGAACTGACAATGAATATGCTAGAATTTGCTATAAATGGGTAGCAGAAAAACAGCAAAAGCCAAAGAGAAAAATGGAATCAAGGCCATTTTTTTTTTTTTTTTTTTTTTTTTTTTTTTTTTTTTTTTTTAGATGGGGAAAAACTGCACAGGGTTTCCCTGCTGGTGAGCAGTTGAGATAAAGGGAGAGGTAAAATGGGCACGACGCATGGGTGAGCAGAGAGAACTGTCAGAGAATGTCCTGGAAAAGGCATGGGGGAGAACATGAAGTGATTGGCCTCAAACAGGAATGCTGAGGCTAACAGAGAAAACCCAGAGGGATGGTGGCGCATTTGGATACAAACACGTGCGGGTTGGTGTGCCAGGTTATGGAAGTGTCCGTTTTTCTCAGTAAAGTCAGAGGGGCAAGGCCGTCAGTGGGAGTGAACAGGGCTAAGGAAGAAGGGAGGTTTCCAGACAGAGAAGGCAGTATGGAGCAGTTG